GGTGGGGGTGGGGTGGGGTGGGGTGGGGCTGGGGGGCTGGGGCTTCCGGCCGGGGGCGCCACAGCCTCCCGGCTCAGCTTCGCTGTTCTGCGGCGCCTGCACGCCGCACAGCCGCTGGAAGCGGGCCACCTTCTGCGGCTCCTGCAGCCAGCCGGCCAGCCGGGCCAGGCGCTGCCCCAGCGACATTGCCGACCGGACCCACGGTAGGGCGCAAGGGCCCCAGCGCAGCCCAGAACCATCTCCGCGCGCCCGGCCCGCGGCGCGGCTGCTCCTCCTCGCTCCACTCGCCCGAGTCGGCTGGGGATGGCGCCTTAAAATACTTTGAAAATAAACCCACAACTGTCTGGGCGGTGGGTAGCTGGGAAGTCTGGGGATTCCTTCGTGCACACCCCAAGGTGCTACTGAGATGCCTGTCCACCCTCTCCTCAGGGTGTAACTGCTCCTCAAGGTAACAGGAGTATCTTCTGTTTCAGGGCCTGATAACCTTCGAGGATGTAGCTGTGGAATTCACCCAGTGGGAGTGGGGGCAGCTGGTGCCTGCACAGAAGGACCTGTACAGGGAGGTGATGCTGGAGAACATCAGGAACCTGGTCTCCCTGGGTGAGCCCAAAGTCTGTCCATGAGGCTGCCTTGAGTTCCTTCATGTTTAAAAGCTACAGGTGTCTGGGCCTGTTAGCTGAGTTTTGCCCTGGGGTTCTGGAACCAGACATTTACATTCTCTTTGGGGCCCGTAGGTAATTTGTGCTCCTAGTTTTAGTAAAAGTCCTGCTTCTTACAGAGTTGAAATAGGAAGTTTCCTGACTCTGCTCATGGTGTTTCACGATGTCTGTTCTCTCCACTGTGAAGATCAAGGTCCAAAGACTTGGCCTCCAGCACACACAGCAACAGTCCTTTTCTTTCTCTACCCTCAGGGCTTCCAGTTTCCAAACCATATGTAATCTGGCAGTGGGAGGATAGGGAAAAGCCCTGTGTGTCAGAGAGAGAAATTTCAATGGGACCCCATCCAGGTAAGCAAGTGAGACAATGCAACATGGCACCTAATAAGGGAATATTGGGGGCAGGAAGTTGTTTGTGCTCTTGGTCAGGGGGCTCTCTTTTGGGAAGATGAGGCCACTTTGCAGAAGCCCTCAACTGCAGTATTCTGAATTTTACACTCATTTCCTGTGTCAGAAAAGGAGATATTCATTTTCCTTTCTAGCATTTCCCCTTCATTGGTACTGCCCATGTTGGGGTTATTGTTGCCACACATCATCACTGGATGTCTCAGAGTCAAGGTGGGATGGATCAACAGTTGCTTATAGACAGATAGTCCTATATCAATAGGGTTAAGGGAGTTAGTGGGGGAATCAAACTGCCAAGGGGGATTGACAGCCAAGAAATGAAAGGGTTATGGGCAAGGGAAGACAGAGGCTGTCAGGAAGATCAGGTAGGAGACACTTTACTCTTGATTTAACTAAACCTCAGCAGAGGTGGTCCTGGGAACGAGGACTATTCCTTACCAGTTGTTGGTGGCATGTCTTTTATTCCCAGATGCTTGTGAGTACCTGGTAGCCTCCACCTCAGAATTCTGAACTCCAAGCTGATCCCCAGAGCTGTTGTGTGTATCCTGAGCTTACTGGAGGTGAATGACATTCTCTGCCAATTGTTGTCTATGTCTGAGGCAGAACTATAGCCTCAGCTCAGAGCTGAAGCTCGGGAAAGCAGTCCTCACATCCTGAAAGGATAGGGTAAGCCTCATCATAGGAGCCTAGAATTAGGACAGAGAGGAAACATGCTGATCTCCTGTGTATTAGTACTTTCTTGATCTCTTTTCATTCCAGAATGAGATCAAGGTTCTGACATCTGGATCTGGTCTCATGATCAATATGTTTATTTACACTAGTCCAAAGCATGGCTGTGTTTCAGGGTGTCCCAGGGAGCTTTTTTTTTAGATATTTTGATTCCCAGGAACCATACAGGATCTATTAACTCAGAATCTGGCTGAGGACATTTCTGGGGTCCCTGGTGGGGCATTGCCAGTCATGTCCCTCTTCAGAAGTATCATTATTGTGTTTTCTATTGTTGTTGGAATGAGTTACCACAAACATTGTAGGTTTACATGTTTGTTTGTTTGTTTTTGGTACTGGAGATTGAACTCAGGTCCTTGTGCTTGCGCAGCAGGCAGTGAAACCACTGAGCTAAATCCCTGGCCCAATTGTAGCTTTAAACAACACAAATATATTAGTTCCCTGTGTGTAGGTAAGAAGTCTGGCATAGGTCTCATTTGGCTGTAGCCAAGGGGTCCATAAGGCTGTGTTCCTTTCTTTCCTGCCTAGGAGAGAACCTGTTTCCTGTTCATTCAGGTTGCTGGCAAAATCACTTCCTTTGTAGTTGTTAATCCAAGGCTCTTGTTTCCTTGCTGGCTGTAAACTGAGGGGTGTTCCCACCTGCTAGACTGCCATATTCTTGGCTCATGGTGCCCACTGTTATCTCTCTGCCCATATAGGAAATGTTATCTGATGTTAAGGATTTATGTGATTAGACTAGGCCTGTTTGAATAATCCAGGATAATCTTCCTGTCTCCAGGTTTGTGCCCTTCATCGTAGCTGAAAAGTCCTTTTTGCTTTGTAAGGTAACCTGTTCATAAGTTCTTAGGATTAGGACATGGAGAATTATCCTGCCTACCACAATTCTACCCAATAATAGGACAATATATGCATGTGTATATAATACAAAACAACATGTGTTTTGGACTGAGGTGTGAGGAGATGAGGTGAAAGACAGGAGCTTGTTCCTGGAAGATGTGCAAAGCTTTAGAAAAAGAGAGAGTTAAGTATGGAGATATTGGGAGAAGGGAGGTGGCCAGTGTGCTGAAGAAGACAAGACCCTTAGTTAAGTACTGTGGACCAGAGTGAGAGATTGAGGAGTTATCCTGAGGTACGGGAGAGCCCTTGGGGAGAAAAACAAGGAAAGAGACATCTTAGGAGGATAAAAATGATGCAGAGTACTTCAGGAGAGATTGGAGGTAAGGCTGAATAGGAATCTGTGACATTTAATTAGGCCTGAAGAAATTGTGGGGACACAGAGTCTGTACCCATGTGACTTATCACCATACATTTCTCCTATTTCTCTTTGTCTTCATCCTTATGCTTAGTCTCTTTCCCTTGTTACCCTTCCCATCCTCCTGTCATCTGTATAGCCTCTGAACTTTCCTTGTGTGCTGGAGTCCAAACATCTCTCAGGTTTTCTTAACCACCAACCACCAATCACCTGTTCATCGCTTCTTCTTCTTTTGTTGTTGTTCAGTTTTTATTTTTTATTCCTACATGTACTTTTGATCACATTCCTTTTGAGGAGGTGGTACATATACCTAATATATCTCAAATTCTTTTTTTAAAATCCCCTTCATCTCCTCTTGTTTATTAGTTATTCTTAACACTTTGAAAAGCAACTTCTGACACATGCTTGAAAGAATCTGCGTACCCTTTTTAGATGTCATTTAAAAGCATAATTATATTTATTATTATTTACTTCTTCTTAGCACATAGGATGCGTAATACTAAGAATGCCTTCTTTTTTCCCTTATAGACTGGAAAAGAAGACCTAAAGCAAAGGAATCATTGTCAAGTCAAGGAATTTTCAAAGAATTATTCCAGATAGCATCAGTGGAAAAACACATTCAAGATGTCCTGTGGTCCTCCAAACTGAAGACAACCTGTGGTTGTGATGATTCTAGGTCAGAGATTCAACAGATAATACAGAGAAATTGGAAAGAAATCTCACCCACTCACAAATCCACCACCCCTAGCAAAGATCATGAATGCAGTGAATTTGGGGGTTTAGGTTGCAGACCAGTCTGTAAGCCTAAACTTAACCAACACAGTGTTCCCACAGGAGAAGAAATCTATAAGCATGATATAGAATTCAAACAAATTTCAGATAGAAGTAACTCTCGGAGAACCTGCCCAGGGAAGAAATATTGTACATGTAACGAATGTGGGAAGTCCTTCCATTTCCAGTCAGAACTGAGGCGCCATCAGAGATGTCACACTGGAGAAAAGCCTTATAAATGCACTGAATGTGGGAGAGCCTTTGGCCATATTTCATCCCTTATTAAACATCAGAGAATTCACACTGGAGAAAAGCCTTACGAGTGTAGTGAATGTGGGAGAGCATTCACCCAGAGTTCATCTCTTGTTTTACATTATAGATTCCATACTGGAGAGAAACCCTACAAATGTAATGAATTTGGACGTGCCTTTGGTCATACTTCCTCCCTTATTAAACACCAGCGAACTCATACTGGAGAAAAGCCCTATGAATGCAGAGAATGTGGGAGAACCTTCAGCCAGAGTTCATCTCTCCATTGTGCATTACAGATTTCATACTGGAGAGAAACCCTACAAATGTAATAAATGTGGGAGAGCCTTCAGTCAGAGTTCATCTGTCACTCAACATTATAGGTTTCACACAGGAGAGAAACCCTACAAATGTAAAGAATATGGAAGGGCCTTTGCTCATACTGCATCCCTTATTAAACATCAAAAAAGTCATGCTGGAAAAAAAATCCCTATGAACTCAGCAGATGTAGGAAGGCTTTCAGCTGGAGTACACACAATACCACACCTCAGAGATTTATGCTGAAGAGAGAAACTGGAAATGTACCATAAGTGGGAAGACCTTTGATAGGAAGACACATCTTATTTAACGTCAAATACTAAAAAGATGTCCTTTTAGCCACACCCCTTCTCTTACCAAACACTGGCGAATTCATACCAGTGATAAACCTTGTGACTATAATGGATGTGGAAAAAGTTCAGCTGGAAGACATGTCCAACCATCAAACACCTTACCGTGGGGAGAAGCCTTACCACTGTAATGACTGAAGTATATCCTTTGTCACATACTGTTTCTTTAAAAAAAAAAAACATAGCTAACCTTGGAGAGGAATTCTGTAAATGTGGTTAAGTATGGAGAAATCCTCAGTAGTACTTCTTCCCTTAGTGAGCATCAAGAGCATATACTAGAGAGAAGCCCAATGAAAGGAGTAAACATGGGTAGGCCACTAGCTCACCCATTTAAAAGTCAGAATTCATACTTGAGCGAAACCCTCTTTGAGTGTATTGAATGTGGAACACCTTCAGCCAGACCTCAGCCCTTTGTAACCCTCAGAGAACTCGCACTACCAATTATATTCTCCAGGAGTGCCATGCATGTGGAGAAGACTGTGTGGATGTTCCATTCTTTTGCACAGAATTTGTACTAGAGCAACTCTTCAGATTTGGTAAAACTGGGAAGACCCACTAGTGTAGTTGAGGCCTTAGAAGTCTTCATCTCAAAGAGAAACCCTAGGAACTTGAATGTGAGAAAAGTTCCTTTCAGACTTGTGATTCATGAAACTGGAGATGAAAGGAAGCTGAGAAGTCATCTTTTCTGGTGATTTTGTACCTGATGGGGGCCATTTGTATGTCTGCACTTGTGCTCTGCCTCCCTTTTCAGTTACTCCTTGGGGCAAGGTGGTACTGGTAGATAAGGAGGATGGAAGCTGGGCAAGGTGGAGAGCCACCAGTGATCTAGCCCAAATTTATGTAAAATGCTTTGGTTTGTGAGCATAATTCATTCTGGAAACATGCTAATAATCCACACTACTTGTGGATTATCAAAGCAAATTTCCCCATAAGAAATAATGGAAATTCAGATGATTCAATCCACAACCCAAAGATATTCATATAAAAATTAATACAATACTGTAGTACAATATAAAATAATAATACAAAATATAAAGAAAAATAAATTAACCTGCACTTACCTATGAAATCTTCATGGCGGGTGGGAGGGAGACAAGAGAGGAGAGTTATTATGTAGAATGACTTTCAGTATCATGAATGGAATCCTATTTATTGGCTCAGTGGAATCTTTCTCTTCATGCAACTTTAACAAGAAACTATCATGTACCTGTACATGATACATCACACCTCTTTTTCCCATTACCCCTCTCCCATCCCTATGTTCAAAAACTTTGTTTCCATTTTTTCTATTTTTGCTTTTTTTTCTTGTCCCCTTCTCCCTCTCTCCTCCCTTGTTCACCTTCCCATTTGAACATTTTCTTCCCATTTCCAAATATCTATTATACATTTTAGTCCTTATTTCCACTTTTTTTTTTTGATACTGGGGATCGAACTCGGGACCTTGCATTTGTGAGGCAGGCGGTGGAACCACTGAACTAATTTCCCACCCTCTTATTTCCACTTTTGATTTCGTACACCAGAGAAATTGTGGTATTTAAACACGTGTGTCTGATTTATTTCACTTAAATTTATGGTCTCAAGGTGCATCCATTTAGCTATAAATATCTCAAGCTCATCCTTTATGACACAGTACTACTCCACTGTATAAAAACCACATCTTTATCCATTTGTTGGTTGATGGGCATTTGGGCTGTTTCCAAGATTTAGCTATTACAAACTGTGCCACTATAAATGGGTATGCATATATCACTGTGGTATGATACTTTTAATTTTTGGGGGAAGATACCAAGAAAGGAGAATAGCTGGGTCACATGGAACCTCTAGCTTTACTCTTTTTTTTTTGTACAGGGGATCAAACTCAGGACTTTGTGATAGTGAGGCTGGGGGCGGCACCACTGAGTTAAATCCCCGGCCCTAGCTTTACTTTTTGAGGAATCTCCACACTGATTTCCACAGGGTTGCACCAGTCTACAACCCCACCAACAGTGGAGAAGGGTTCCTTTTACCCCACATCCCTGCCAGCATTTGTTATTGGTTGATTTCTTTTTTTTCCCCTTAAATTCTTTTATTGGTACATTTTAGTTATACAATACATTTACATTTCTCATTGGGAACTTATACCTTTACATGATGTATCTTGGTTCTTATTTTTTTCCCATTCCCTGTCCTCCACCCCCCACCCTTCCCTATTTACAAAGACTTTGTTTCCATTTTTTCCATTTCTCATAATTTTTCCTTTCCCCTACCCCTCCCACTTCCCCCCCTTTGGACCTTTTCTTCCTATTCCACATTATCAATTATTCATTTTAATCATTGGTACATTTTAGGTATACAATGTAATGACATTCATCATTGGAAATTTGCATTTTTACATAATCTCTCTTGGTTCTTATTTTCCCCCCTTCCCCTGTCTGCCCTTCAACTCCTCCATCCCTCCCTATTTACAAAGACTTTCTTTCCATTTTTTCCATTTTCTCATATTCCATTCCCTTCTTTCCTTTCCCCTACCCCTCCTACTTCCCTTTCCAAAACTTTTGCCCCTTTTCTTTCTATTTCACATGATCTATTATACCTTCTAGTCCTCATTTACACTTTCAGTTTCTCACACTAGAGAACTATTTGGTGTTTACACGTGTGTCCTATTTATTTCACTTAAGAGTATTCCCTCAATGTGCATCCATTTAGCTATAAGTGTCTCCAATTTCTCCTTTATGTCTGAGTAGTACACCATCTTATAAAAAAACCCCACATTTTCTTTGTCCAGTCTCCAGTTGATGGGCATCTAGGCTGTTTCCAAGTTTTAGCTATTACAAACTGTGCTGCTTTGAACATGGGTGCACATATATCACTGTGGTATGA